CACAGGGGGTGAGGGGGCTGCTCTGGTTTCCTGCAGGACCTTCTTTTTTTTTATTTATTTATTTTTCCTTTTTTCCTTTTTTTAAATTTTTTTATTTTATTTTATTGTCTGTTTTCCCGTCTTTCCTGCCTGACCGGCTGTAAACTCGGACGTGCTTAACGGTGGTGGGGTAACCGGGATACAAAGAAGCTTAAAGGTGGAGGGAAAGCGAAGTAGGTAGGACCCGTGTGAATCGCTGAGCAGTGTCTGCCCTCTGCGCGCCGAGAGCCTGTGCGCGCACACGCACACACACTCGCGCACACACACACACGCACACACGTGCGCCCCGGGGAACTGCACGCATGTGTGTGTGCGTGTGCATGTGCACACGGGTGTGTTTACACAAACACTCGCCATTGCCATGGCTGTGACTACAGAGGATCTGTAATTTAAGTATAATTATAGACATCAGCTAAAGATCATAGAAGAGCCTTTGCCATTTGCTCCGGAATTTATTGCCCTAGAATGCAAAGCAGCTTCAGAATGGTCTTGCTGAAAGTTTAACTTTCAAAAAAAGAAATGCGGCCCCGCAGTCCAGCAAACGTACACTCGGGAGGAGAGGATTCATTAACAAACACTGGAAGTAAACGTCTCGGTATGGGATTATTAAAAATAAGTGCCACCCCAATACAGCCCTCCCCGCAGCACCAATCCTGGACAGAATAGTTCAATTCTATGAAGTTCACTTGTAAGTCAGAGAAAATCCGCAATGCCATGGAAGTGCGCCCACAGCCCCAGAAACGTGCTCTCAATATCCAATACTTACAGGCTAATGAGCTGGGGGAGGGGGGCGAGGAGGAATGTGCCACAAACGCATTGGATTCTCAGTACAGAGGGCATATTCCCTACATCGCTCTCTGACAATGAGGGAGCGGAGCAGAGGCTTTGGGATGGCTTAAGGAGAGTGGTAAAGCAGCTTTGCTCCTTTGCTCCTTTCTCTATCTCTCTGTCCTTTTTTTTTTTTTTTTTTTTTGTGTGTTTGGTTTGGTTTTGGTTTTTTGTTTGGTTTTTTTTTGTTGTTGTTCCTTTGCTTCCTGAGTATTCCCCAGTAACTTTCACCAGTGAACCCATAAGCTGGGCTCTCGGCCACCGTTCCCAGGGTGCCAACGTGCCAGGTTTAAAATAACCTGGGAAGGTTTCATGTTACAAATTGCCCTGTAGGAACCGAGTCTCTCCAACAGTTTGGACTTTATCTAAAGAACCACCACCCCCCCGCTTGGATCGCACAGAAATGCCTTACCAGCGCAGGAGTTCATCCGCTGCATCCAGGGGTAAACAGGACTCGTGTACTTCCGGTCGGTGCCTTCGTCATTTACAATTTTGGCTTGGACGCCGCTGGATTTGTACTGTTGATCGGGAGAAAAATGCAGGTAGTCCCCGGGCCCCCTCTGTTTGCCACTGCCGGAGGGAGAGGCGCTACTAATTTCCTTGTCCGAATAAAAACAAGAGCCTCCGTACTCATAGGAAGCCCGATTGCAAGCAATGACGGTGTTGGACTGTTGGTAGAAACAAGGTGAGGTGTAAGTCTTGTCCTGCAGGCTGCTTGCCCCGTACGAAGCCGGAAAATGCCTGAGAGCATCATAACCCGCCGGGTAAAGGGGGATCTGCCCGAGGAAAGAGTCCTGGCCCCCGGGCAGGCTCCCCGGGAAAGTGGGATTCACGAAATAGGAACTCATTTGCTCTCCCCCTCTCCCGGACCGTGATTTGTTGTGTATTAGTACATCTGGCGATAACTATTAGGAGTCATCGAAGTGGTTTGTTTCTGGATGGCCGAGCGCCAAAAGCGACAGCAGAAAATAGGAGCAGCTGACGGCGGGGCGGCCAATGGG